GAAGGAGGAGGAGAAGGAGAAGGAGGAGGAAAAGGAGAAGAGGGAGGAGGAGAAGGAGGAGGAGAAGGAGAAGGAGAAGAAGGAGGAGGAGGAGGAGAAGGAGGAGGAGGAGGAGGAGGAGGAGGAGGAGGAGGAGGAGGAGGAGGAGGAGGAGAAGGAGAAGGAGAAGGAGAAGGAGAAGGAGAAGGAGAAGGAGAAGGAGAAGGAGAAGGAGGAGGAGGAGAAGGAGAAGGAGAAGGAGGAGGAGGAGAAGGAGGAGGAGGAGAAGGAGAAGAAGGAAGAGGAGAAGGAGAAGAGGGAGGAGGAGAAGGAGAAGAGGGAGAAGGAGGAGGAGAAGAGGGAGAAGGAGGAGGAGAAGGAGAAGGAGAAGGAGGAAGAGGAGGAGGAGGAGGAGGAGGAGGAGGAGGAGGAGGAGGAGGAGGAGGAGGAGGAGGAGGAGGAGGAGGAGGAGGAGGAGAAGACGACGACGAACAAACATTTGTCTGTCTGTCTATTTGTCTGTCTGCCAAGCTCCCTGTCTATCTGTCTAGCTGTCTCAGAGAGAGCCACAAGACTGTCGTCATCACGTTTACTCACATCTTCAAGCAGAGTATAGCACTTTGTCTGGATTTTTTGGGTTATCCTAGGTAATTTACACTATGTATACTTGTATTTATGTGTACCTGTGAGACAGAGATAGACAGAGAGAAAGAGAGAGACAGATTGAAAGAGATAGAATGAGGGAGAAAGATAATTAGATAGAATGGAGGGGAAGCAGCATCCGACCCCATTGTTTTGACAGGCAGGAGGGGGAGTGAGTAATGAGACAATATGTCATTTTGACAGCTGCGGACTCCTGACTCAAAACAATTATAAGCCACACACTCCCACCCAAGACAAGCTTGCTGAATGGTGATAATAGCAGTTTTATGAAAGTATCTAGTGACTATATATGTGTATATATATTATAAAAACCAGAAGCAAGAAGGGAAGGCAGGAATGAAGGAAGGACTAGATGAAAGGAAGGAAAAAAGTAAGGAAGGACAGATGAAGGAATGTAGGAAGAGAGGTGGAATGCCCTCCAGGTAGCCTCCAGGTAGGAAAGGAATGAAGGAAATTAGGAAGGAAGGAATGATGACACACGACCATTTACCTAGGATAACTACATAACACAACTGCCTGCTAATACTTTGAAGAAAACTGCTCAGACGAGGTGTTTTGTCTATGTACATAAAAAAAAAACTTCCACAAAAATGCACCCACACTGATTTTATGTGAGGAGTGTAAAACACCATTGTGTATGACACCATGTTTTATGTGTGAGGAGTGTAAAACACCATTGTGTATGGCACCATGTTTTATGTGTGAGGAGTGTAAAACACCATTGTGTATGGCACCATGTTTTATGTGTGAGGAGTGTAAAACACCACTGTGTATGACACCATGTTTCAAAGAGTTCCACAAGCTGCAGAACTTCTAGGAGTATGTTCAGTGACTGTATATTGGTATATATATTATAGAACAATAGTAATAAACAATTTTTTGTATTGTTTGTTTTTGTAAACAAGTTTTGTAAACAATATATTGATAATTATGTTCGTGTGCTTATTGTGTTGTATACAACGAGTGTATATATGTACATTGCACCTTACTTTGGTCTCACAGGCCACATAAGTTATGTGAAAAAATAAAATAATGAAAAAAAACAACAAACCATCAAATACAAGTAAACTAAAGTTTACGGGTGAGCGGCAGTTGCCGCTGTTGCCATACGCGGCTCATTTTCTGCAAACTTCATGCCTCTATATCTCAGTAAGTTCTGATGGGAAAAATTTTTTTTGGGGACTAAAACAATCAGAAAAATAATCTTAACATTTTCATAAGAAAATTTTTTTTTTTTTTTTTCGAATATTTTGCGACACCAGGAGACACTTCAGGATTGGGCCCTTCGACAGTCAAAGGGTTAAAAAAAAAAAAAAAAAAATTCCTATGAAAAGATAGAGAATTTTTTCCCGATCATAATGACACCAAAAGTATGAAATTTGATGGAAAACTTACGGAATTATGCTCTCGCGAAGTTAGTGGTCTCGGCGATGTTTACGCATCGGCGATTTTGCCAACTTTGAGCCCCATTTTCGGCCAATTCCACTGTACTAGTCGACAAAAAACATGAATATTTCGCTATAACTCCATTTTTTCTATCGAATGAGTGCAAGAAACTACCCATTTACCAATTTCAGCTATCCAGTACAGTAGTCAGAATTTAGCAATTTTGCCAATTTCACACAAATTTCAAAAGATAGGGTCCAGAATAAACAAGAAAGACATTCCTGGCACTAAAATGACATTTCCTCTGTTCATTAGTCACGTCTCAAGGCCTCTCTTACATTCTTTTTCTTTCCACTTTGAATTTTTATTCTCACAAAAAATTGAACATTTACTTTTATGCAGACCACTGCATTAGTGTAAAAAATGGTATAAATAATATTGGCGCACTTGCAAAAGAATATTAGACTCACCAGTTGACGTGTATTGGACGCTTGGCATGATTTGTTTACTTTTGAACTTTGGTAAAAATCGAACATTTCTGCTACTTTGAGCTCAATTTCAAGGTACTTTTCATTGTGAAACCAGTCAAAATCATCTCAATTTCTGTAACATGTCTTCCATTCTATAAAATGAGACCAAGAAAACTAGAATACAACAATAAATACCATACGAAAATACAGTGCAAAGTCGCTGTTTTATTCCAAAAAAAACGGTCAGAGTTTTTTTTTTCTCATTATGCACTGTGTGCTGCAGGATTTTTTTTTTATACTGTGCACACTGACCACATAGACCCATTCTTTCAAATGTAGGTCTACCAGCCTTCTCCCACTAGATTTGAGGGCACTAGAAGTTCGGCGTACTAGTACGTCAAAAACCCTGGGTTGTAAGCCGTACTAGTACGGCCAAAACCCTCAAAGGGTTAAGGGGTTAAGGGTTTCTTTTGGGCAAAACTAAGGGTTACTTTTGGGCCACCAGTAAACAGTGGATAACTGCAACAGAAGATACAGAACCAGCAGATACAGGGGTTCTACTGTATAATGCTGTAATTTTTTAAATTAATGCAAGATGTAGTGAAAGGGTTAAGTAGAATCTGACCTCAGTGGATTCCCCACTGAGGTCAGTATTTTTTTTTTAATACACCAGCTGTCTGAGACATATTCTTAGAAAATATAACACATTCATTGTCTGTAAATTAACAACGTTAACAACTTGGTACCTGTGCAGGAATGGTATATAATACCGACAAGATGAAATTAAGACACATGTGCAACATCTGGGTATCTTTATTGTAGACGTTTCGCCATCCAGTGGCTTTATCAATACAAATTCTAGGACATAACTTGAAGACAGTAGGACTATATACAGAAGATGAGGTAATCAGTCCCTCAACCTAGGAGTAGGTGCGAAGAGCACCATAGTCGTGGAGATTCTGAAGCAGAAGCAAGGAGCCTGGCGCTTATATAGTAACGTCAGGTGTAGCAGACGAGGGGATAGTCACTGGTAGGCGGGATTCCCCAGTGGAAGTAGGTCCTTCCCAAAGAGATGGGTTAGATGTAGTAGTAGTTGTCGTAGCCGTGATGGTTATGTACATGTCCTCAGAATCAAGATTCCATGATGTTGCAGTGTCTGACAAGTTGTGCAGGAATGGTATATAATACCGACAAGACGAAATTAAGACACATGTGCAACATCTGGGTATCTTTATTGTAGACGTTTCGCCATCCAGTGGCTTTATCAATACAAATTCTAGAACATAACTTGACTATCCCCTCATCTGCTACACCTGACGTTACTATATAAGCGCCAGGCTCCTTGCTTCTGCTTCAGAATCTCCACGACTATGGTGCTCTTCGCACCTACTCCTAGGTTGAGGGACTGATTACCTCATCTTCTGTATATAGTCGTACTGTCTTCAAGTTATGTCCTAGAATTTGTATTGATAAAGCCACTGGATGGCGAAACGTCTACAATAAAGATACCCAGATGTTGCACATGTGTCTTAATTTCAACTTGGTACCTATTTACTGCTAGGCAAACAGGGACAAAAGGTGTTGGGAAACAGTCTTAGTGTCTTCAGTTAGGCCACAATTAAACCCACATACAGTGGATCCCTGGTATTTGAACTTAATCGGCTAAAGGTCATGTTTGAACTGCAAAAAGTTCAATGCTCGAAACAGTATTTCCCGGGCTTTATTTATCAGCCTCACACACTGGAGGATATAGAACTGACTCTTCCAAAGTCTTTGAGAGTTAGGTCAGTGTCAGAGATCACTTCAAAGCTGAGTTAGGTCCATGTCAGAGGTCACTTCAAAGCTGAGAGTTAGGTCAGTGTCAGAGGTCATTTCAAAGCTGAGTTAGGTCCATGTCAGAGGTCACTTCAAAGTTGAGAGTTAGGTCAGTGTCAGAGGTCACTTCAAAGCTGAGTTAGGTCAGTGTCAGAGGTCACCTCAAAGCTGAGAGTTAGGTCACTGTCAGAGGTCACTTCAAAGTGGAGTTAGGTCAGTGTCAGTGGTCACTTCAAAGCTGAGAGTTAGGTCAGTGTCAGAGGTCATGCCAAAGCACTTTTGAAACAGAGCTTTCGTGTAATTTTTTTACAAGTTAATTTTAAACATGTCACTGTATTCGGGCTCCAGAAAAATGCTCAAGAACCAGGTCAATTTTTTTCCTAAAAAAAGTTGTTCAGACTCCGGTTTGTTTGAGGTCTGGCACATTCAAACACTGGGGTTCCACTGTACTTCAATTGAAAGCTGAAGGTGTTACCACTGAGCTATGAAACTTAGTTAAATATACTGTGGTGTTTGCTAACTTCTATCATGACTACAAGTGAATGAATGATGGTGAAGGCTTCCTTTTTTGGATCACCAAACCTTAGTAGTAAAAAATATACATACCATACTGTATGCCAATTTTGCACAAAGCATATTTAGCTATTAATATACAAAGTAATACAAGAAACAGAATAAAAAACTCACCAACAAGAGCCAGAGGTTTGTCATCACTGAGGTCACTGCCACGATAAATGAGCTCAAGGAACACGGGAGGCTCAGCAGATCCTCGAGACACAGATAAAAAAGCATTCATATTCCTTGCTTTAGCCCACTCATAGCTTCTTGTGAGCACCTCTACCCCTAAGCTCTCCAGGTAATTAACTGCTTCCTGTGGGAGAATTTAAAGTTGCATCAAACATTTATAATGCCCCACTGACTGATACGAGGTACATGACTGAAAGGACTACATTAAATCCAAGATGACAACTAGTGAAGTCTATCGTGTAATTCATAAACAAATAAATGCAAGTTGCCAACAGATGCTGCCAATGAACCATCCACATAAATAGGCTACAGAAACTGTTACTAACTTGGATAAAGTATTAGAAGTGCTTCCAAGAGTAGATAAAATTATTTTGCTTTATAATTGGTGAAGAAAAATTTTGAAGAATAGGTCAGCTCTGTGACTGATGATCACTGCACAGGTAAAATGGCTTAGAACTCTAATATTACAGAAGTGCTAAACCTGTGGGGGTCATGCAGCATCTGGAGAATGGGAGGTAATCAGATTTGATCCAAGAAAAGGGAAGTTAGCTAAATTTCTTCACATCAAGAGCCCCTCGCATGCATCAAGGTAACTTCCCCCAACCTTGCACATTACGTATTTGACATAAATACAAGACCTGAGACAGGATGAGAATTTTGTATGATGACATATCGTTCTAGGCCAATATTAGCCTCGAAGCCAACCATATCATTCAGGTCAACCACAGCCTCTAGGCCAACCCTGGCCTGCAGGCCAAACTTAGACACTTTGCCTCTAGACCAAACTTGGCATCTAGGTCAAACATGGCCTAGAAGGACTGCACGAATTATATTTTTCCTAAGTGCTCTTATGATGAATAAAAAATAGTATCAACATAAGTTAACCCAAGAGAAACCTCACAGAAACTTTGTCTACAAGTTTCCGGAGAACTTTTGTGTCAACTGGGTCTACAAATTTAAGTTGTACATGAACTGTGCCTCAAGTTTCAGAATTATGTATAAATTTTGTCCTAGAAGGTAGGCTGGTAGACAGCAACTGCCCAGGGAGGTACTAACATCCTGCCAAGTGAGTGTAAAACAGAAGCCTGTAATTCTTTTACATGATGGCAGGATTGCTGGTGTCTTTTTTCTGTCTCATAAACATGCAAGATTTCAGGTATGTCTTGTTGCTTCTACTTACACTTAGGTCACACTACACATGCATGTACAAGCATATACAGCCTCTCCTCACTTAACGACGGAGTTCTGATCCTAAGACCACATCGGTAAACGAATTCGTTGCTAAGCGAGGAGCATACTATAATGGTAGTGGGTTTGTGTCAACTATCTTTGATATTATTTTAATGCCACCTTTGCACCATTTATAACATTTCTGGTATATTTTTAAATGTTTATACATTAGTGTACTGTACACTGTAATAAAGAGAATAGAGGAAATCAGCTCTAATATACAGTAGGGCCCCACTTATACGGCGGGTTAGGTTCCAGGCTGTCGCCGGAAAGCAGACATCGCCGGAAGGCAGAACTCCATTTTTTTCTATTTATAAATGCATATAAATGCCAGACAACAAGTTTACACTAAATTATATTAAGTTAGTAATAGAACTAGGCATTAAAAACACAAAGTCAAATACAGTCACAGTAAATTCATTACTTATCTTAAAGTATTTGTAATCTTAATGTAGGGAGAGAGGTGAGTAGTACTTATTTTTGAACACTGGCAAAAATCAAACATTTCCCCTACTTTGAGCTCCATTTCCAGGTTCTTTTTATAGTAAAATCAATCAAAATCACCTCTATTTCTATATGTTTTCCATTCTATCAAATGAGACCAAGAAAACGAGAATACAACCATAAATACTATACGAAAATAGACCACAAAGTCGGCATTTTAATTAAAAAAAAACGGTCGGAGTTTTTTTTTTCTCATTATGCACTGTGTGCTCCAGGATTTTTTTTATATGATGCACACTGACCACACAGACCCATTCTCTCACATGTGGGCCTACCAGCTTTCTCCTGCTTGATTTGAAGCCGCTAGAATTTATGAGTATATATACGTCAAACACGGTACCTCGTAAGATGTATATATACGGCCGCGACAGTCAAAGGGTTAAGAACATCCATACTTATTCATGTGCCTACTACATACACAGAACAATACACGCAAATATAAACCCCCCACTCAAACTTTTCCTCACCAACCTAAACAGGACACATGACCACAACACAAGACACATCTCTCTTTTTGATACATCTCGTGTCCATATCACACTGTGTAAAAACTCTATGCACATAAAGGGCCCCAAAATATGGAATTCATTAGCAGAAGATATTAAAGTAACCCAGTCTGAAAATCAATTTAAGACTCTTCTCAAAAGCCACTTAATCACCCTAGACTAAATGCTAAGTACTCAGTACACACTTACTCACCTATGTACTCCCACATCATAACTTCAACAATCACATTGAACCTTTTATCCATTGTTGACAGGAATATAATTGAATCATTGTTTTTCACAAAAGCATTTTAGAATATAAATATGTATATCTTTGTATTATACAAATTTTGATTCATTTATAATTAATATTCTACTGTACAACTATGAAATAATTACTTTCCTACTGTACAACTATGATATACTACTTCTTAGTATTAAGTAGAATGTAAGCCAATAATGTTAAGTTGGCCCATAATGCCTAGGCATAATAGAGGCTCTCTTTGCATTGCAACCCACTATTGTATACAGGAGGGCCCCGTTTAACGGCGTTCCGCTAATACGGACATTTCAAATTATGACCAAAACTCGCTATACGGCTCCCCCCACCTGTCTTTCTAATATGGTCACAGCGGCCCACCGAGTTTGTTTACATTCTCCCTGAGCACATCTCCTTATTATGTCTGGAAACTTTCCAAAATTTCAAGTGTTTTAAAGTTATTGTATATTTTATATGTATTGTACTTGATAATTAAACTTGTGTACACCTGTACCTAAATAAACTTACACACTGTGCTGGCATGTAGGTACACATTAAAATCACTAAGAGTCTCTCTACTCTTGATGCAATAATAATAATAATAATAATAAAAATTTAATAATAATAATAATAAAATAATAATAATAATAATAAAAATTAATAATAATCTCTTGGGCGCATTAATGTCGATATTACGTTAAATATAGACATTTCCCTTAATCTATCTATGATATTTTTTTTAAAAATTTTATAAGAAACACATTATGTACACACAAACAGGGATACATTGCACCCACAGTACAAAAATTTATACAAATATATATGAAAATGTTTACCAAACGGTTTGTAAAAGTGTCGGAAGAATTACGTTTTCTCTGGGCCCATCACCTGTTACTAGGATAACTGTAGAAAAATTTTCCCCTTCGTATGCCTTCACTTTATAGCTATAATTCTGTACTAACTTGTAACAGTTTAAAGATATTTGTTTCGTGTTTTAATTATAATAATAATAAAAAAAATTATAAGGTAAAAGTTTCACAAACTCTTTACAAATGTACATGAATGAACTAAAACTGGACAGGGTTTTAATACCGTCTTTTTTCGCCTGACCGAGTGATCGCCCACAACCTGCTCAGTTTTGTTTGTTTACGCTGTCTGAGCTCGGTGTATCATTAAATGTTGTATATTACGTTAATATACACTTTTCATTAATCCATCTGTGATATTTTTTCAAAATTATATATAAAACACGATACATAACATAAATACATAACAACATATGTGTAAGAGAACCTAGGATAAACCCAAAAAAGTCAGAGTGACTTACTTCCATTGCCTTCACTCAAAAAGAAACATTCTTCTAAAAATGATGTTACATGAGAATGGGAGTGTTCTTCTTTATTTATTCTACCGTATCAATGTAGAGACAACCTGTACACAATGTAACTTGTACACAAACCAGACGTGTACACTGTTTGCAAAACTTACCTTCGCCTGGTTTGTTTACATAACTCTGCGCCTGTCCTCTCTCATGCACTCATTCTTTCCCCTCTGGTATGGTAGCCTGGCTGACTACCATAATACCACACTTGATATTTTACAATAAATACTACTCATCTCACCCTATATTTTAAGGTAAGTAATGAGTGAACTGTATAAAATTTATCGCTCTGAGATGCTTAAATATCATAGAATAGTATGTGTGGGTGGGGTGGCCTGGTATGGGAGCCCGCTGACTACCATACATACCACACTTGATTTCTTACAATAAATACTACTTGTCTCACCCTAGATTAAGACTATAAATATTTTAAGGCAAGTAATGAGTGCACTATGTGTGTATTGTACTTTTTTATTGTTTTTTGATGCCTGGTTCTATTGCTAACATAATATATGTTAGTGTAAACTTGTTATCTAGTGTTTGTATGCATTTGTAAGTGGAAAAAAAGGGTGTTCCACTTTACGGCAGTTTCCGCTTTACGGCGGTAGCCTGGAACCTAACCCGCCGTATAAGTGGGGCCCTCCTGTATATACAATCTCAATGTACTGTTTGCAAAGACATTAAATAAATAAATAAATAAATAAAAAATAAATAAAAAATCCTCTAAATCCCTTACTCACAACACACTGTACTTACTCAAATCAATATACTGACTCAAATTTCATCATTATACTGACTCAGAAATTGTGCAGATGGTTGTAAATCCACAGCAGCAAGCAAGTGGAGGAGAAAGCAGTGATGATAATGAGGAAGATGTAGCACAATGAGTCTCTACTGATAGGTTAATTAACCCTCTAATTGTCCAAACATAGATCTATGTTTGCTCGTGAAGCGCTCTGAACGTAGATCTACTTTTTATTTTACATTCTTTCTTATGGAGAAAATCAAGGTTGGAGCGCTATATGCGCAAACGCAGATCTATGTTTGGACAGTTTAAGGGTTAAGTGTATTATATAGTCCGGCAAACTCACTAATCTGGCACACTACAGGTCCCAATGATGCCGGATTAGTGATGGCCGACCTGTAGTACAAAACATATAACAATATTACAATTAGTTGATTAAGTAATGGGAATGGTTTTATTTCAGCATGATACACTGTTACTATAAAAGCTCCTATATTGGGAGAGTATTTCAGGCAAACTTAGGACTAACTTAAGATTAATTAGGCAATAACTATATAAGGAATTTTATGTTTACAGTTATTTGGGTGAGTGTTAGTGTAAAAAAATGAGGGACTTACAGATAAGAGTAAATCTATTTTGTTTTGGATGCGTTCACGATACAAAAAAGAGAATAAGTGGTTTTCACATAGTTAGCTGATGGTGGGGTGTGTTAGGGAGATATGGTGTCTTTTAATGGTAGTTTTGAAAATGGTGGCTAAGTCTGTAGTTCTAGAGTTTTAAGACAGGGCGTTTCAGATTTTAGACCCTTTTATGTACACTGAGTTTTTGTTAAATTAGACACATGTGCAACTCTTGGGTATCTTTATTGAGGAAACATTTCGCCACACAGTGGCTTCATCAGTCCATACAAAGGATAAACTTGAAGAACAGGAGGAGAATGAGGTAATCAGTCCCTCAACCTTGAGTCGATGTGGTCAGTCCATCAATCTTGAATAGGATATGGCATATGAGTGGAGAAGCAGCTTATAAACCATATGGCAGGAGAGGTGCAGCAGTCTTAGGTGGTGTCACATTTGTCCAATGTGGAAGTAGGTCATGCCCAAGGGTTAGGCAAGCGAAGAATTCCCAAGTATTAAGTATTGAACCATTCATCTACAACATTGAGTTTTAGTAGAGATTTAGCCGGACACGAGGAATGTCAGAGACTTTTGTGTCTGGTATTGTGTCTATGAGTCCTGTTGCAACTATCAAGAAAATGTTTTAGTTCAGGGTTAATATTAGAATTTATGGTTCTGTAAATGTAGGTTGCACAGTAGTAGGTGTAAATGTTTTGTACAGTGGGGGAATATGTTGTCTAGCATTGGATTGCATGATAATTCTTACTGCAGCTTTTTGTTGGGTTATTATTGGCTTTAGGTGGGTTGCTGCTGCTGATCCCCAGGCACAAATAGCATAGGTGAGGTAGGAATAGATGAGTGAATTGTACAGTGTGAGTAGGGCTGATTGTGGTTCATTGTAACATATCTTTGAGAGACTCCCAACTGTTTTGGATACTTTTTTGTTGTGTTGGATATGGGTGTTGAATTTCAGGTTCCCTCCTCGCCTCTTCCATATGCCACTCTTGTTGGCATATGGAAGATGCGAGGAGGGAAGAGGGAGGAGAATTTATTGTTTGGATGGGGAATCCTCTTCCATAAGGACTTCAGGAATCAAAGCCCTATCCGGGGTTACATCCCTTCTTTGTCTTTTACTGGCACTAGGACCAGCTTGAGAGTCATTGTACCCATGTCGCACAAAAAATCTGTCCAGAGAACTCTGTTTCTGGCATCTCTTTAAGATTTGCCTAAAATGGGACAAGGCATTGTCAGTGAACATGTTGCAGACATGGCTTGCAACAGATTTCCTTGAGTGATAATTCTCCACAAAACTTTGCACCTCACTCGACTTTGCACAAATGTCCTTAATTCAAATTCAAATTCAAATTTTTATTTCTTTGCAAGTAGTACATTGAGATTATGTATTTACAATAATGAGTTGCAGTACAAAGAGAGCCTCTATCATGCCTAGGCATTATAGTCAGACTTAATTTAATGGCTTACTGACTACATAATACTAAATAAATTTATCGTAGTTTAAGTTGTACAATAGTTCTATTAATTATAAATGAATCTAATTTACATAAATCACTGAAGAAGGCACATTCTCCCCTCTCTCTTCCTCCTCCTCTGAAGCAATTTGTTCAGCTGCGATCTGTTGCTGTTCCAGTTGAAGGTCCTGCAGCTCTTCCTCACCACACACATCCAACCCCATGGAATTTCCCAATGCCACAACTGATTGCACAATAGGTGTAGGGTTGACAGGATCAGCCTCAAACCCTTCAAAATCCTTCTCTTGGACAAATTCTGGCCACAATTTTCTCCAAGCAGAGTTCATCATCCTGGAAGTCACTTCCTGCCAAGCCTTATCTATAAGGCTTATGCAATTGAGGATACTGAAGCGATTCCTCCAGAACTCTCTTAGAGTCAATTCAGTGTCCAAGGTCACTTCAAAGCACCTTTGAAACACTTCTTTGGTGTAGAGTTTTCTGAAGTTTGAAACGACCTGCTGGTCCATGGGCTGGATGAGAGGAGTGGTATTAGAGGGCAAAAACTTCACTGTGATGAAACTAAACTCCTCCAAATCTGGAGGATGAGCAGGAGCATTGTCCATTACCAGGAGGCACTTGAGTGGCAATTTATTTTCCAGGAGGTATTTCTTCACACTCAGGCCAAACACTTCATTGACCCACTCAATGAAAAGTAGCCTCGTGATCCATGCCTTAGTATTAGCCTTCCACATCACACACAATTTACTCTTCATGACATTGTTTTTCTTGAACACTTGGGGATTTTCAGAGTGATACACCAGTAAAGGCTTCACTTTGAAATTTCCACTAGCATTACTACAGAACAACAGAGTTAGCCTAACTTTCATAAGTTTGTGTCCTGACAGTGCCTTTTCTTCCTGTGTGATATAGGCTCTCTTTGGCATTTTCTTCCAAAAGAGGCCTGTTTCGTCAAAACAGAACACTTGTTGGGGAAGGAATCCTTCAGCCTCTATGTACTACTTGAATTCATCAACGAATTCTTTGGCCGCACGTTTGCTGAACTTGCAGTCTCGCCATACCTTACCACACTGTGTATGCCAGATCGCCTCTTGAAGTAGTTGAACCAGCCTCTGCTAGCCTTAAATTCACTAACAGCAGCACTCATTCGAGGCACATTCTTTACAAGACCTGCATGCCACTGCCTTGCCTTTTCGCAAATTATCGCCTCCACAACACTATCTCCCATTAACTGTTTTTTGTTTATCCACACATTTACCCCTTTTGCAACATCAGTTTCCTTGATTTCTTTTTTCTTCGCCAGGATGGAACTGATCATTGATGAGGACTTTCCGTACATCCTGGCGAGATCGACCACAAGTGCACCACTTTCATATTTTTCTGTAAGTTTCTTCTTGAATTCAATCGTGTTTCTCACCTTCTTTATCTAAGGGCTGGAACTCTGAACTTTCTTTGGCCCTATGGTGGCTTATTTAGAAGTTGCACTCAATAAACAATCTCAAAAAACAATAGATTATTATGAAATGTTTCGTATGAACATGCAGAGTAATGTTTATCCCATGAGAAACAAATCCAGACTAATGCCTTGTGTGGGCGTGAGCAGGCATAGGCAGGTGGATGCACTGGGGATGGCTGACGAAAACCAAGGTGACAAACAAAAACTAGGACAACATTTTGACAAAAAAAGTCGTCGAAAACCAGATTCGACGATAACCCGGGCAAACAAAAACCAAGGTACCACTGTATATGGATTTCAGTAGTGATATGATAATAAGATGGTAAACAACAGATATTAATAAACTGTAAATGGTAATATTTGTCAACAACAGATATTACAAAAGGGAGCAAGGGGCTAGTAACTCCTTCTGTATAAATTAGTAAATTTTAAAAGAGAAACTTTCGTTTTTCTTTTTGGGCCACCCTGCCTCGGTGGGATATTGCCTGTTTGTTGAAAAAAAAAAAAAGATATTAAAAAAAAAATGTAACAACAGATATTAAGAAAATTATGAATGGTAAAATAGGGCAGTGATAAGCTAAAATACAAATATACAAAAAAGTAGATATATATACTTTCTTGAAGTAGTAATAAAGAGATCTTGCAGTGATTAAAAACAATTAAAACTATGAGGTAGAGTGGTGATTGAAGAATTAAGACAGTTGATAGCTGTGAGATAAGCAAATACAGTAGTAGGAAAATACAAAAGTGAAACACAAAAGTATCAAAAGTAGTATGAGAGTATTAGGATTTAGGGAGCAAATTTTATGGCAGTATATAACAGTTACAGAGTTGTTCATAACACTACTCGTGGATGGTGGGTATAAGCTGCACATTACTCTGAGTCAGTCACCAACAAGCTGGTGATTAAGATACATGTGCAACAGTTGGGAATCTTTATTGCTGAAACATTTCACCTACACAGTAGGCTCCTTCAGTCAAATACAGAGAATGGATTGCAGGCAGCAGAAGTCGTGAGGTAAAGAGGATACAATCAGTCCATTAACCTTGGAGAAATAGTTTGTGGTGGTCTGTCCCTCAGCTTAGAGAAGAGTTCAACTCTATTCTCTGTATCTGACTGAAGAGGCCTAATGTGTAGGCAAAATGTTTCAACAATAAAGATACCCAACTATTGCACATGTGTCTCATTCATCATTAAGTGGACTTGCTCAGCTAAACAAATATTTTGGGGCCTCCTTGTCCAGGGCTGTAAGAGCCACAGCATACCTGACATACAGAGTAATATCCACCTAACTATAAACCTCTACAGGAAACTAAAACAGTATTAGCAAAGTAAATAGCATTTATAAGTCAACATTGAAACTACAATCATACAATACCGAAGAAAATAAGCAACAATTAATCACTAAGAATACAGACACAAAAACAAAACTCACTGAACATAGGGTTTGAACCTATTGCTAGCCAATTCAAAAATAGCAGATCAGTACCTTGCCATGGGTTTAAATCCTCCATTCGACGAGTTGTTTGCAATCGTATCATTACATTTTCACGTCATTCACAATAACAGAAGTTGAAACTACACCACAATACGCTGACAAAAAAATTATATTACTATCACTGTACATACTTGTGCAAAATTTGTTGGTGTGAGAATATTAGCTGGTGTTTCCATAAGTCTTCGGGCAATATTCTGTCCTTCCGCTAAAGTTGATCCGTGAGTCCACCTAGAGTAATGAATAAGACACAAATAATAGACAATCTTGAAGAACAAAGTTTTACACAATGCATTACAGTAGAACATAAAGGTCGGTGAGTGCAATGCATCACAGTACAGTGGTACCTTGAGCTTTGAACAGCTCCCAACTCAAACAATTATGTAAGTGTATTTTTGTAAGTGGTTTTGTAAGTACACCTACCATCTGACTTATGACCGAGTTCGGTTCCGAGAAACCGGTCGTAAGTCGAAATGGTCGTAAGTCAAACTTTACTACTGAATATCAACAAATGACTTTATTTTATTGTTTTATTTTGGTATTTCATGTTTTACTTTACTTTTTATGTTGTTAGTACAGTAAGGCCCCACTTATATGGCAGGTTAGGTTCCAGGCTGTCGCCGGAAAGCAGGCATCGCCGGAAGGCAGAACTCCATTTTTTTCCATTTATAAATGCATATAAATGCCAGACAACAAGTTTACACCAAATTATATTAAGTTAGTAATAGAAATAGGCATTAAAAACACACAAATTAAAATACAGTCACAGTAAATTCATTACTTATCTTAAAGCATTTGTAATCTTAATGTAGGGAGAGAGGTGAGTAGTACTTATTTGTAGGAAGTCAGGTACAGGTAGCCCAGGTGTAGGTAGCACTGGCTCCCCGTCTCATACTTAATATATGATATTTAAAACATCCCAGAGAGGTAAAACGCACATACAGTACACTCATTATTTACCTTAAAATATGTGTAGTCTTAATATAGGAAGAGAGGCGAGTAGTATTTATTTGTATAAAGTCAGTGTAGGTAGCTGGTACGTGTTGCCTGGGCTACACCTACCGGCTACCTACACTGTGGCCCAGAGCCATATTATTAACATTGACATGCCTTGTTCACTGAATTTAATTATTTCTAACAACTACCTTTAGATGCCATCATAAACGAAGGTAGAAGTAATGAATAATTCATGCCGAAAATTGTAAACAAAAGCGGAGTGGGGGAGTGGCTGGGCCAAACGCAGATTCATACACGCTTTCTCTGATGGCTGAGCAGAGAAAACATAATGTTGTCCCTCCACCCGGCTCCACAAGTATTATTATCAGAGCATATAAAATATGCAATAAATGCCAGACAACAAGTTTACACTAACTTATATTAAGTTAGCAATAGAAATAGGCATTAAAACACAATAAAAGGTAAGATACACACAGAGTACACTTATTACTTACCTTAAAATATTAATATTAATGTGTGAGAGGTGAGTGGCAGGGTGTTTATTGAATAAAATCAGAATGGCACACCATCATCCTCTAACTTGACACTTAAAGCAAGAGGCTTACGACTTCTCTTTTTATTACAGCTAACCTTAGACGCCATCGTCAATGAAGCCAAACTAGTTAACGAAAGTAAACGAGAGAGAGAACGAGATAAGAGTTGAGACAATGTAAGAACAAAAAACTGAACAGGTAGGGGGACGATCACTTGGTCAGGTGAAAATAAATGCGTATTAATATGTGTCTACTTTTAGTTCATTCACGTCCATTTGAAAGAGTTTGTAAAACATTTACCTCAATATTTTTTTATTTTAATAATAATTACCTCACAATACAAATACTCTTACATTGTGTACAAGTTGTACAAGTTAGTTCAGAATAAACAAACAGCAAACACACCATTTTTAGAGTGAATGAAGATAATAATATTAATAATAATAATAATAATAATAATAATAATAATAATAATAATAATATTATTATTATTAGTATTAATATTAATAATAATAATAATAATATTATTGTTAATATTAATATAATAATAATAATATTATTATTTATTATAAAAAGCACTAAACCCATAATGGTCGTGAATTGCTATACATAGAGTAAAGGCATACAAAAAGAATATTTTTCTACAGTTACCCCCCAGTGTTTGACTAGAGAAAATGTAATTCTTCTGACACTACCTACACAGCTGCTTTGTAAACGAATCTCATATTTACATCAATTTTTATTCTGAGTGTATGTATCATGTTTATATGCTATGTAATGGGTTTCATATATAATTGTGAGGAAAATATCATAGATGGATTAATGAAAATGCCTATACGTATTGATGTAAAATAAGACATTTAGTGTGCCCGAGAGTGATTATTATTACGTAGTATTGGCGTCATGAGTAGAGAGAGACTTAGCGATTTTAATGTGTACCTGCACACCAGCACAGTGTGTAAGTATATTTAAGTACAGGTACACATAAGTATAATTATCAGAGTACATATAAAATATGCAGTAACTTTAAAACAGTTTAAATTTTGGAAAGTTTCCTGACATAATAGATGTGGTCACGGAAAATGTAAACAAACCGGGTGGGGGGGGCGCTGTATTTAAAAGATCGCTTGCCGTATAGCAAATTTTGGTCATAATTTGACATAGCCGTATTAGCGGAATGCCGTAAGGCGAAACGCCATAAAGCGGGGCCTTACTGTACTGTATTTTATACTGTAAGGTTTAGGATAAACACTGTGTACAACACAAATAGTTGTTTATTTCCCAGAAATTTGGCATAAAACACGCAGTCGTAAATCGAGTGGTCGTAAGTCGAGCAGGTCATAAGTCGGATGGTAGGTACATTTTTGGGGGTCTGAAACGGACTAATCTAATTTACATTACTCCTTATGGGAACAAATTTGCTCGGTAACAGCACTTGAACAGCCTTCTGGAACAAATTAAGTTCGAAACTCAAGGTACTACTGCACAACACAAAGGTCGGTGAATGCAATGCATTTACTTTCAACTTGCCTTAACCCGTAGAACTAGTTATCATACTGCTACAGTAGTAACCAATACTGTATGTACAGTATACTGAGAGTAAATACACGCACAATACTGTGACTGATATATCGGATCATTATTTAGTTGTAGCTACAATTAGAGTAAGAGGTAGATGGGACAAAAGGAAAATGGCAACAACAAGTAAGAGGGAGGTGAAAGTGTATAAACTAAGGGAGGAGGAAGTTAGGGTGAGATATAAGCAACTACTGGCAGAAAGGTGGGCTAGTGCAAGTATGAGTAGTGGGGGGGGGGTTGAAGAGGGTTGGAATAGTTTTAAAAATGTAGTATTAGAATGCGGGGCAGAAGTTTGTGGCTGTAGGAGGGTGTGTGCAGGAAAGAGCAGCGACTGGTGGAATGATGAAGTAAAGGGTGTGATAAAAGAGAAAAAGGTAGCTTATGAGAGGTTTTTACAAAGCAGAAATGTTATAAGAAGAACAGAGTATATGGAGAGTAAAAAAGAGGCAAGGAGAGTGGTGAGAGAGTGCAAAAGGAGAGCAGATGAAAAAAATGGGAGAGGCACTGTCAAGAAATTTTGATGAAAATAAGAAAAAATTTTGGAGTGAGATAAACAAGTTAAGAAAGCCTAGGGAACAAATGGATTTGTCAGTTAAAAACAGAGTAGAGGAGTTAGTAGATGGGGAGCTGGAGGTATTCGGTAGATGGCAGGAATATTTTTAGGAACTTTAAATGTCGATGAAGTAAGGGAGGCAGTAATTTCATACACTGGACAGGGAGGTATAACATCTTTTAGGAGTGAAGAAGAGCAGGATGTGAGTGTGGGGGAGGTGCGTGAGGCATTACTTAGAATGAAAGGGGGTAAAGCAGCTGGAACTGATGGGATCATGACAGCAATATTAAAAGCAGGGGAGGATATAGTGTTGGAGTGGTTGTTATTATTGTTTAATAAATGTATGAAAGAGGAGAAGGTACCTAGGGATTGGCAGAGAGCTTGTATAGTTCCTTTATATAAAGGGAAGGGGGACAAAAGAGATTGTAAAAATTATAGGGGAATAAGTTTACTGAGTATACCAGGGAAAGTGAACAGTAGGGTTATTGCTGAAAGAATTAGAGGTAAGACAGAGATTACGATTGCAGATGAGCAAGGAGGCTTTAGAGTGGGGAGAGGATGTGTAGATCAAGTGTTTACATTGAAACATATACAGGTACCATCCGACTTACGACCAACCTTGGTTCCAACCAACCAGTCGTAAGTCAAAATACATGTAAGTCGAACCTAATTACTGAACATCAACATCATACTTTTGTAATGATTTTATTTTGTTTTATTTAGGTATGCATTTCATTTTTATACTTTACTTTTTATGCTGTTAGTACTGCATTTTATACTGTAAGGTTTACAAAAAACACTGTGCACAACACAAACAGTTGTTTATTTCCCAGAAATTTGGCATAAAAAACATGGTTGCAAGTCGAGTGGTCATATGTCGAGCAGTTGGTAAGTCGGACGGTAGGTGTGAACAGTATTTAGATAAAGGTAGGGAACTTTACATTGCATTAATGGATTTAGAAAAGGTATACGATAGAGTGCATAAGGGAGCAATGTGGCAAATGTTGCAAGTATATGGAATAGGTGGTGAGTTACTAAATTCTGTAAAGAGTTTTTATGAGGATAGTGAGGCTCAGGTTAGGGTGTGTAGAAGAGAGGGAGATTACTTCACAGTAATAGTAGGTCTTAGACAGGGATGTGTAATGTCACCATGGTTGTTTAATATATTTATAGATGAGGTTGTAAAAGAAGTAAATGCTAGGGTGTTCGGGAGAGGGGTAGGATTAAATTATGGGTAATCAAATACAAAATGGGAATTGACACAGCTGCTTTTTGCTGATGATACTGTGCTCATGGGAGATTCTAAAGAAAAATTGCAAAGGTTAGTGGATGAGTTTGGGAGAGCGTGTAAAGGTAGAAAGTTGAAAGTGAACATAGAAAAGAGTAAGATGATGAGGGTATCAAATTATATAATAAACACGATACATAACATAAAAAGATGATAAATACACCCCACAATAGAATAAATAAACATAAATATGAGATGTGGTAGCCAGATAACTTGTACAAGTGACGCCAAGAATAACATTTTCTCTAATCTAACATAAGAGAAAATGTGTTACTGGGGGTAACTGTAGAAAATTATTCCTTTCGTATGTATGTAAGTTTAT